TTTGGGTATAGGTAAATAGTGCCAAGTTTTCGTAAAACCGTAGGAGTAGATTGGATTCCTTTTTCAATCCTATCAATTACTTTTTCGGAGGTATCGCTTCGAAATGTTTTGCCCATTCCTTATGAAAGAAAAAAAAAACTTGAAATGAGCATACACGCCAAGGTTGCAACCGACATTGGTCCAGCTTTCTCCTGTCAAATAAGCGCGGGGCTATGTTAGTGTACAGGGATAGGGGCCAAAAAAAGAGTCACTCTCACTCACATTCAAAACAGAATTAATTACACTTTGCCAAATCTTTTTTTTTTGGCCTCCTCTGTGGATATTAAGGTAATCAAGCCCATTTTTGATACTACCGGCAGCTTATCAGCCTGTTCACATGCCATAAAAACGGTTTTTCTCATAGCTCTGAAAAATTTTTTAAACTTGTCTCCTTTGATTCTTAAAGAACTATTAACAAGTGTTCATTTCCAGATCGACATTCCTACAGCAGGAAAGTCTCAGGAACTGTATTTGGAGACGGAAATGCCTGCAAAACTATCAGAAATGAGTGTTCCGAGCAGCGAAACTTTTGCAGCAGCTGTGTTCGGAGTTGAGCAAGCGTTGAACATAGCTGAGGACATAGATTTGAAGAGCTGCAACGATCCTCACGTTCTGTCAGAGTCGCTAAGCATTCTGGATAGGCAAAATGCTGCTATGGATGCTCTCTGCGATACCGCATCCGAATTGGCGAAGGCTGGAGACGTACAATACCTGGACACAATCTCCACATTGCAAGAACGTCTTCTATCTGTGAAGTATTCTCTTGTTGATCGCCTAGAAAAACTTCGATTGGAGGTGCGTTTCCAGCATACGTATTATTTTTGGGCGTTTTTTTCCAAGTTTTTTTTTCTTTCTCTTCCTTTGTCATGCTCAATATGTTCAATTCTTTCGAAAATACAGACATATTTGGACTAGTTCTGTTCTTCTTTTTCTTCTTTGTTTATGTGAAATTCTTCCCATTTCTCTATTCTTCTTTATTTATGTGGAGTTCTTCGTATTTCTCTACAACGGGGCGATTTCCATTGCAAGATTGTTCAGCTATTTAAATTTTGATGATGGGATTTTTCGAAGTGTATGGTTGATGTAAACGAACCGCTTCCTTCTCCGAAAATCAAAATGATTTCGCCCGTAGGGAAAATCAAAAGAAGGGATTGTACTCCATGTACATGTGGGGGCAGAATTACCGGTGCACCAATATTTCTGGGCCATGTTGTCCCCTTGTTTTCCTTCAGCGTTTATCTTGCTGGATGGCGAATTTTGCTTATCTAGTGCACAAAAGCAACTTTTCCAATTGAATGCCCGAACAGGATGAGTGTTGATTAATTTTAAGTTCACATGTACCGTGTCACGGCAGCACTCATCTAGGTGTCGTTGAGGCCGCTTTCTGTTGACTAAAGACAGGGTTGGTCGTCCGTTGACACGATATAAAAAATTTTCACCCTCCCCCTCCCAATTCTCAAGGGATCTCGATACGAACTCCCAATACCACCGGGCTTGTAATTTTCCCCATACGACCCTCCCCTGACCACCACACCCCATCGCCCTCACTCCGCCATGCGACTCGAGTTTCCAATCACTACGACCCGCCTGTGCCATCAATCACACCCACCGAAACTTAACACCCCCTAGACAACTCAATCTCTCCCCATCAGAAGTGCGGATTGTTAGTCATGACCCCTGCATGAAGGAGAAGCTCATCTCGCAGGCGTGTTCATACCACTGCAGCGAAGAGATGCTGGCCGTCACTCATAAGAAAGGCAGCCTACCTACCGTATCGTCAGCTGTGGGCTCACCGCAGGTGCTCCATATTTGGGCACAAACATACCGAAACAGTGATCCAGGATAAATCGAACCATCCATACTATTGCAAAACGCCCATCGGAAAAATATTTCGTACCATTATTCTCATAATTGTTTTACACATTCATAGCCCTCCAAACATTACCTTCACAATCGACTCTACTCACAGGATCACCGCGCGCTTCATTGTATTTTTTCCAACGAATTGAGAATCATACTAGGCACAGAACAGAGTGTCATATGACTTAGATACTGTCAACTTTTCAAGGGAATTGCTTAAGAAATCATTCGAAATATTTTGTTGCCCTGTTCTCAAACAACCTTCCTAATCGCCACCGCTGCATTTTTGGCTCGTTTTTCGCACACAGTCAGGTCCTCAACCCGCTAGTTCTCCAATAATGAACCTAGATTTTCCGCGTAACATCCCACCACCCTTTTCCGGCGCATCGCTCACTTACCGTCCAAACTTCTTAATGTAAGCGCCCTAAAGCCCTATGCTTCAGGTCTCGAGACCCATTGAAATCCTGCTGGAATCTTCCGACAAGATTAGGTTTCAACGTGTAAGAATGAATAGATTTCCGCGTTAGTCCCGCCCATCTTTTCGGGCTTCGCCCACTTACGCGTCAACTTCTATGTAGCTAAGCCCTGCGCACTGCTTTACGTGCCCTGAGACACATTGTGACAAGTGTAAGGTTCAAGAATGCTTCGAAAAAGCTGGCTTGACTGGAGAGAAAACGAACGCTTCTCAGTTGTTTACTTATAAATATACTTGTTGGGTTTCTTATTTTATTCCTTTGCTATCTTCATTAATTACCTTCATCATTTTTATTTCTGCATTATTCTCTTCCCTTCAATTTAGCAAAGGTTGGATTTATGTACGGATGAATGAGTATGAGTAACGATATATGAAGGGTAGTCAAGCAAGCAGAGGCAGATAAATAAAAAAGGCTATCGCATACAATGAGAATGCATAGTGGGAATACCAGAGTAGCCAGAAAGGGATGGTGGCAGAAACTGGTAAAAGTGCAAAATGGGAAAGTTAGAGATTGTGGGCTAAAAGGCCTGTGATGAGCGATAATGGGAAACGAAGAGCAGGGAAGAGTGGTGGAGAGAAAAGCAGGAAGGAAGCTTGGTACCAGAGGATCAGAGAGCTGTTCAATGGAGTATTTGGAGCATTTAACAGGGTGTGAGTGGAACAGATCGCATACAAAAATCAATCACTCACTGAGGAGTGACTTTTTCTGCCCCCTCCCGCTGCAAATGTGACAAGTGATGAATTTCTTCATTAATGATCTTCGTCTACATTTAAAAGTCTGCCTTTGATTTTTGCCTTTACCTTTATCATCCTTCATTCTTGCTGCCTTCCTTCTGTCGTAAGTGAATCCTTTTGTGATTACAATCAACTTGCTTTCAGATGCCAGGATCCAGCATCACTACCGAAATATCTACAAGTGAAGAACCCTCAGTAGCACCATTTGATAACTTTGACTCGCTCGTTGAAGATATCAGAGCAGCTACGAATTCTGCTGAAGCGGTTCTGAATGATAAATCCTGTGATTCTACAATGCTGCTAAGAGCAAGAGATGAATTAAAAAGTCGGGAGCCAGTTTTATCGAAGCTCAGTGATATTGCATCTGCTAGGGCTCAATCAGGGGACGCAGGAAGGCATTGACATCGTGAGCATGATATCTGAGGAATTCAACAGTGTGCAATACGCATTGGAAGATCGCATGAGCGAATTTGTTGCTAAGGTAATGCTTTGTTCGAGGTTCAAATTTTCTGTATGTTATGGTTGTAGTGTAGAGCGAACACTGAAAGTTTCAGCTTTTCATTATGCGATTTTTCAATTTTTCGAAGGTGTAGAAAGTCTAGATCAACAAAATTATAAATTCCCTAGAAATAATGAAGAAATCTTTTGGATAATACAGAGGGAACGAATGATGGTGTTTGGAATAACAGCAGAATTTTGTTAAATGCAATTATTTGCGAAATTTACATCCACCTTCCACTTACTGCTTGTTTTTTTGAGGTAGTTTTCAAATGATATTCAAATTTTGTTTTCAGCCTGCGGAATACTCGGAATCTGTCTCCCGGATAGGTCCAACGGGAAGAGCTTTCAGAAGCTGCGCTGGATGATTACGATAAGCTCGTAGAGGAAATTCGTGCAGCAACGACCTCTGCTGAAGCCCTTCTGAGTGACAACTCCGATGACCCGCAAACACTCCAGAAAGCTGTA